AAAGGTTAAGGAATTACAGTACATCTTCGAAACAGCAAGACTCAACGGATACAAGGAGACCACAATCCAGGCAATCATCGATAAAAAAGCGAGAATTCTACAAAGGAGATTATTTACAACCATCACCACAGCACCTGAACCATTGAAACGAGTGTCCGTTCCATTTGATCAAGATATTACTTGTAAACTAAGACCACAGTTAAAACAATTCGGATTAGATTTAGTTTTCACCAGTAGACATAACCAGTTGAAATCATTGTTAGGATCCACTAAAGACCCAGTTAATGTTTTAGGTAAAGCAGGTGTATATAAAATAAGCTGTAATCATTGTAACAAAGTATATGTAGGACAAACCAAGAGAACTTTAGCAACTAGATTTAAAGAACATATAGCGGAGGTTAATAAGGCCAAAAAGCAAGAAGAAAAGGGCCTAACATATGATTTCAAATCAAAGGTTGCAGAACACATATTCACAGAGGACCACCAACTATCGACGGAGGACATAACGATTTTACGAACCGTATCTACACCATGGAAATTGGATGTTGCAGAAAGCCTCGAGATCAACAAACAACGTAATTCAACTTTACTCAACAGGGATCAAGGAAACGGACACACATGGCTTTTCAAGTTACTACCTAGGACACATCAACGAGTAAGCAGCGGAATACCTGTTCCTATAGAAAATTAAATTTAAGTTTACCTAGTTTCTAAGTGAAAATGTACCTGTGTTAAAATATATATTCGGTAAATGCGATGTTTTTCTTCAGTCGAGTATTAGTACAAGACACTGAAGAAGTCTGCACATTGTAGACGAAATACGCGTATCTGTCAAGGATAAGCAAATAAAGTAGTGGAATTAAATGGAAAATACTAATCCTTCTCTCTCTCATTATACAGGTATTCCACTAAGACGCCCACATTCATCAGGATGCAGAATTTTATTAGATATTTTTATAAATCAATCAATTACAAATAAATCAAAAATTCTTCTTGGAATTCCAAAGCAATTCATCACAGAAATGTCTTAAAATTTTGATCAGAATAATCTTGGAGTTATCCTCTGAGTTCTCCTGAAAATGTACTTCGAATTTTCCTAGAACTCTCTTGAAATTCTTGTCGAAATGCCATTTGGGATTACCCTCGGGATAAAATTAAGACTCATCGCGAAAATCCTTTCGGGATTGTACCGTCCACATTTGATTCTCTAGGTATTCTTCTCGGAATTGAGTTTAGAATTCACTTTAGAATGGTCTTTGATTTTTTTTCCGAAATCAATACCCTAGGAATTTTCTTGAAATTATCAGCAGATATTTCTTGAAATTCATCTTAGAACTTATTTAGAATATTCATTTGAAATGGATGTTGGATAATTTTCACAACTATCAAGGTAAGCTCCTCTGAACTACCTTGAAATTCTTTTTAGATTCACCAGTAGCAATTATCTTGGAACGTTGCAACCAATTAACCAATTCGTATTTTTCTCTAAAATACTTTGGTGTTAGCCTAAGATTTTTTTTGTAATCTCCTCAGAATTCCTATGGAATCTTCATCAAAGTTCTTTGAATAGTTCTTCAAAGTGACTGAATAATGAAAATCTAGCCCAGTCTGAAGGTGTTGTGTGCGTAATGCGGCTCTGTCAGCAAATAAAGTCTGGTCCACTTAGAATCCGGACACTTTATTTATTCTATAGCTGCGCCTCTAGTGGTCAGATTTGAAATATTTTGACAGCGATTTGTATACACGTGGTTCAATGGTGAAAGTTTCGTCTCAATACGTCCAGTGTTCAAAAAGTTGTACTAGATGGATGACGGGAAAATAAAATTGATCTTGCACACCCGACTTGGTAAATTCGAAATATCGCAAAAAAGTTGAAAATTGCCATTTCTACCGTGGGAGTTGTTCTCAAGTGGTTCCGTGATCGCAATGTTAAAGCAAACGTCGTGCTGGAACATTGAATCGGCAGCGGAACAAATCGCTGTCAAAAAATTCAAAATCCGACGACTAGAGGCGCTGCTATTGAATAACTTTATATTGTCCTAAATACTGAAAGCAAAATAGGTTAGATTACCAGTTCGTATAGGAGTCTTTCACAGTTGGAAATTTTCTTAATTTTTCGATGTTAAGAGTATCATTGCACTTGTCGCTTAATGTAAGAATGGTGTAGTAAACGTGAAATGTTCCCAAGTGTAAATTTGTACAAAGAAAAGTAAATTGTGGACAACGGGTAACACAGCTTAGACATATTTTTAAAAATCATCAAATATTTCTTAAAACTAAAATAGTTGAATATGATGTGATGTGATTAGAACCCACCATCAGTGCAAGGATTACCTATGACTGCAGATACTTCACTGGTTGTAAAGTTCTGCCTGATGATTGAATGAGGGTGAATCAACTTCATTGAAGACCTTTGGAAGACAAACGACAAGATGTACGTCTATCAACACGTGACAAGGGACTGGAAAATCCACGAACTCTTGTCCAGTCTACAAATCCTTTGAAACTCTTAGGCTGCCCCCTCAAACCCAGCATATAATAATGTTTGATTAATGAAATGTATTAAAAAAGGGCTATTTAGAGAGAACAATCTTCAAATGGAAAGTACTCACCAAATCAATATATCCGGGAGCGCATTCCCGATGCTTAATTTTCTCTAGTCATTTTTAAACAATTCCTCTTCCAGCGAATCCAACCACACAATAACTAAATATCACTTTTCTTCTTCATGTCACTCTGTGCACAAAAGCAATGCACACCGCAAAAACCTAATAATAGATCTGCGCGGTTGAGTCACACCGTCAACAAAGGGAGCAAGAGCACACCAGGCACCTAAGCAACAGGGGGAAAACATCAGCACAATTCATTCTAAATCGAACTTTCACGTCCGGGACACAAAACTATTCAAATGCGAGCACCGAATAATAGCTCTAAAAAAAAGCACGCAGCGGAGCAAAAACACACAACCGTTCTCGGACGCTTCTCAAAGCAGACGAAATACTAAAATAGTTGAATATTTTCAAAAACTAATACAGGCAAAAGATAGAGTTTTTGTCCTTTAAAATTTGTCGAACCTCTTAACGGAATCCCTTTATGAACAGCTTTGAGTGTGTTGGTTTATTTCCTTTAAATTCCGTTATAATTGCTTATCTATTGACAGATACGCGTATTTCGTCTACTACTAGTGGTGTTGAGTACTTGGCACTGATGAAGTCTGCAAGTGGTAGACGAAATACGCGTATCTGTCAAAAGATAAGCAATTAATCATATTGTCGAGCAGTTTTGGGACGACCTTCTACCAGCGATTTTACGGAAATGAAACAATCAATTCCAGATTTTTCAAGCATTTTACAAATAAAACCCTATTTTCTCGAGGTTGTAGAAGAAAAAATATTAAAATATTGTTCCACGTTAAAGTTCGAGTGGTAGGAAACGTCATTTTAAACTGCTCGAATGATGTGATCCATTATAACGGAATTTAAAGGAAATAAACCAACACACTCAAAGAGTTTTTGTGCTGAAAATGTTCGTTCTACGGATACTTTTGTTTACAAGTCTAGATAAAGAAAATTAAAATATCAAAATATATTTTGATACATTAAACCCAGTTGTCTGCTGGGATAAAAAAAAATTGGAAATGAAAAAGATGTGAATTGCTTCTTCGAGAAGTAGGCTCTGCTAATCGACGGTACGGTTTGCTTGCGCTGTCAATCTTTTGTTACGATGACAAATCTCTTGATTCGTTGATTGGTTTGGATGCCACGAAGAGATTTTTTTAATGGTTCAGATGAGAAGATCACATGTGGTTGGTCTACAGCCAGTGCTGATCGCCAAATGCGGTAAGAAGAAAACATAAGAGCAAGAACATCCGTGTATGGCATTCATCGGGACATGCGTGATGTAGACGAAGCGTCTGGTGGAGGAAAACAGACAAAAGGTTAAGGGTTACCGAAGAAAATCGTGATGGAGTCAATCAAGCGGAGCAACGGCCGTCAAGGGAACACGGTTCTCCGTAATCAAGATCAAAGAGACGTGCATGTTACCTACATAATAGAGTAAACACTGGAGATCCTTCCATATGTTCAATATTTTATATACCATTTATATATATTATTACATATTAAATTCCTTTTTGTATAATACGCAGCATTTGGTACGGTATGTCCACGCATCCTTCTACCCCTCTAGATTAAAAAAATGCCTCGCTTTTTAAGTATATTCATCTTTGCGGTAAATACAACGTAGAAGGCCTGGTCATTTTGACATTTGTGTCATATCCCAGATATTTGTGTCATATCCCAGACATTTGTGTCATATCCCAGATTTTTCTTATTGCTAATTTGAATAACACCTCTGTAGTCAGTATAAGGCATAACTTAATCATTTTCCAGCATGTTTTCTCGTACTGGCTGCGTTTGCATTATATTAAATTAGATTAGAAATGAATAATATGTGAATTGCTCCTCCGAGTATCTTCCACATTATTTGTTTTTGCAAGCTTCATTTTTCTTCATCATCAGCTTTGGCAACATTGCGCCCTTTCCGGAAAATCTCGAACGAGTGCAGTGAGAATTTCCATCATTGCATACTCTTTCTCTCCGTCGCCAGTCGTCGTCTCGGCGGAGAATCCGACCCAGTATTTCCGTCGAGTTATATTTTCGCCATAGCTCACAGCTGTTATCAGTGTGTCTATCAGAACGAAAAGGAAACTCACCCACCAACCTCGGCACGTTCCCTCTGCGCCGCCGTTTGGCCAAATCGAGAGCTGCTGGAGAATCACCACCCAACAGACCACGTGCCACGGGGGCCCACGTGTGTACGTGCGAGTGTATCTGTGAGTTCCTCCCGGTACTTTCTGCTCGTTCGGCTGCCTGGCGGTTGTGCATGGTTTGCAAAATCGTGATCCAGACCTACGAACGAGGGGCCCAACCATTCCTGTGGCAGGGCAAAGTGCAGTCTGTGTGTTTCCTGACTGCCACAATCGCTTCAGTCTCCGGGCACTTACGAACGAGAGCGGACGTGAAAAGTGGAAATCTCTCTCCCTTCCCTTTATGAGCAGTTCCAGTTACAGTTCAGTGAATTGTTGTTGGACTTGGTAGGAAAAGTTCAATTGTTTCTTTTCTGAACCACTGGGAGCGCAGGAGGAGGAGGAGCGGGTGGTTTGGCATTTTTTTGCTCTTCTAGTGGATTAATTGGCTGGACCAACCGGTTCTAGTAGGCCGAATAGCAGTGGCGTCTTACAGTGGCTATTCCGAGAGAACGGAGCGAAGGTCGGTGATCTTTGCCGCAGCAGTCTACTTAGATGTGTTGTGTCTAGTCTAGGAGATTCGTGAAAAATGGAGCCGCTTGGTGGTTTACCGATGGAGGACGCGAAATGGAAGAAACAATAAAACCGCCAGCAGATAGATCATCCTCTTTCGGTTTCCAGTGACGGTGATCTGAAATCGCGTGTGGAATACAAACGGTGAAAAAGAACGAAAATTCGTTTTTCCTCTGACGACGATGAAGACGACGTGTGTCTGCTAGTCTTCAAAGCAAATTTCGGTTAATAGCGACACGTGAGAATTGAAGAAAAATATTCAGTTGAAGAAACGGAAGTTGTGTGAAAATTACTCACTTGTGCAACTGTTTCTCCCAAAGGAAGTACCATCAGGAGCACGAAAAAAAAGCTAGTGATGAGTAAATAGCATGAGATACAAAGTGAAATAGTACACTTTTATTTCTCACTTCACGTCATCACATCAGTGCTCTTTACGGGAAATTGAGGAAGAAAAGAAGAAAAATAAGCTGTAGTGAAAAGCTCTGGCGTTTTGTTCTGGTTGTTTTTTCTCATTCTTTTCGGATGAAGTGAATATGAATGGAAAAAGGCATTAAACGTCCCACCAAGTGATTGTGGCACTGAGCTGAGCAAGAACAAGAGCGAGATCTGGTGGCGCCATCCAAGTTAAAGCTGTAAAACATCGCAGTAGTAGGCATTGAACCGGGTGTGTAGAAAGCGGCGTTTATTTATGATGAATGGATTTTATGCGTTCATAGCGGGAGACCGGCTTCATATGCTGATCCATAAAAAAAATCATGGGATGAATCACTTAAGAGCGTTTGAGATCTGGTTAGATGATTGGATGATCTGTATTGTCTGTTGACGCGTCTGAATATCATCGCGGAGGCAATTCCATTAGCGTGATACATATTTGTTGTGTGCTTTTATGGGATTTATTTCCAGCGGTGATCAATCCGTCATCAATGTGTAATAACTCTTTGCGAAATTTGGTGGAGTTGATTTTAAATCACTCAAGGTGTCAATGAACTTTGGTACTGGAAAGGAAAATTACTGTTTGGTTATACATATCCATATAGTTTTTCTAAAAGTACAATACATTATTTTCACATTATATAGCACCTCAGAGGTAACAACGTGGAATTCGTATGGCTTCCACCTCCGTCAACAGACCTGTCCATCGCTTCCACTGCTATCAATACTTGATGTCGATCTCCTGGTCCCAGTCGTTGCTGAAAACTAGTCAGCTGCTGTTGAAAAATTTGGTTTCCCTACGGGAACAATTTAAGGAGTAATGCCGCGGATACACTTGAATGACAAACTATGAGCATTAGCATTTATTTGTATAATAATTATAAGCAATATACAACAACTATACAAATGTGACCATGGATGTGCTCATAATTTATTATACAAATAATGCTCATGTTCATTGTTGCGTAAATTTGCGCTTCCCAGAATTGAGCAATTTAAAAAATGATCATCCCTAACATCGAAAATCTAATAATGAATACTGAGTACAATCGTGAAGATATTGTAGTGAAGAGGTGCTGGTTGGAATCAATTGTTTTCCAATAACCAGTTACCTAATTTGTAAGTAATATTATGTAATGTTTTTATAAGCTAATAAATATATTGTTATAGCTTTGTAGCTGACTCAAAGATATCAAAACTATATCTTATCTGCTGAAAGAGTCGGTCCGATGGCTTTCGCCAGTACCTCTCCGTAATATTCATAGATTGTCATACAAGTGCATTTGCGGCATAAGATCTAATTTATTTGTGCGCTAATTGTGTTTGTGCGTTTCATAGAATAATAGAAATTAGTTGGTCCAGTTTTGTGGAATCGCTGGTAGAAAGTCACGCCAAAACTGCTTGACAAAGTGGTCAATTGCCGAGACTCGACTAACAAATTAGATTTTTGCTGAGATCTCAGCTAACAAACAGATATTTTGCAAAGATATCAGCAAAAATAAATGGCAATGTAATGGGCTGTTGGAGATTTGATTGAGTGTGTATGATTGACACACAAATTGGGGATTGGCGACAAATAAATAAATAAATACAAATCTATCACTGCTTCTTGATTCCAATCACGTCATACGAGTTTCAATTCCGCCCAAACACGTTAAAACGGCATTGGAATCACTTCGGCATGCGGATGAAGTCAGAGGAAAATTGATCCTCTAGAAATGCTTCTTTTCTTTTCGAGAAGAATGGACGTAAATATTCATATTATATTAGACTTTGTTTTGTAGCTTTTGAAATAAACTATCGACTGATTCGTTCACATCGAAACTATTGATATTTTTTATGTTTCTGTTAGATATGATAAAAATAGGCGCTTATGGCAAAGTAGTAGTCTACCCTGGTTGGATATAAATGATAGGCTCTCTTATTTTTTTGTTGAAAAACTTGAAAGATGTGACAATCTTGTGTCTTCACAAATTAATGAATTATATCGTGCATTTTGTTCAAGCATTTTGTGTACGATTTCTTGTCAGGAAATAATTTCTATTACTAGATGGATGCAGTGGTACATTTATTTTTTTCATGTATCGTACATGGAGATATTTCCCTTAGTCAATGCCTCCTTTGGTCGATGTTCGGTTAATCACCTAGGCATAGGTTGCCAAAGCAGTTTATTTTGTATCCGCTCCTCTTTTATGATAGACCTTCTCTATTGATTTTATAACTCGATGTGTCAAAGGCAGTGTTTCTGCATTATTTGATTCTGTGTGTGTATTGTGTATTGCAGTGGCATTATGGATAGTATCCTTCTGCAACCATCTTTTATATAAATAATTGCAAGAAGCTTAAATCCGGGAGTTAGAAAGTGACAGCTCTATCGCAACTCCAAAAGCCCATTTCAAGAACGCAAGAATTCCGAAGCTATTTTCGTATACGATAAGCCCCGCTCCAATGCATTTCAATGTGGGAATCATTAATAATGTACTGGAACTTTCAATCAAGCTGTATTGCTTAATTGACACGTATTTAATGAGTTGGAAATGTTTGTAGTATCACTAGTGCTAGTTCAAGTAATCGGAAATTAAGTATGAAAATATTATAAAGGACAAAATGGAACGAACTCACCAAATCTGGCCAAGTGAACCCAACAAGCTGGCCTGATGTGTTAGAGGGGAAGTCACAATTGTAGACGGTTCGCTTCACGGGGTAATCCGGTTTGTGGTAGAGCTTGCACGGAATGTCGCGAATGTAGTCTTGAAACACCTCTTGGCCTTCCGTCACAATCCGCACACTGTGGAACTCGGTTCAGGAAATTCAAGTATCCGTTCGCCACCAATATCACTGTTTAAAAAAAATCCGGAACAATCCGGTGTCCCCCTCCCCCCCGCCACCACTGGCAAAAAGAGATGAAATACTCCAAAGGGAGAGTTTGGTAAAGAGAGATGATAAAACCGATTTGTACCATCCTTAAAGTTGTCCTAGCTCGCTGTCTACTCTCCATATGCAATTTTCACTCTGCCGTACTCAAAACGGAACTATCAATTCTATACTTTCATCTCCTCCTCATCTATCGTATAAAAATTATCAATGTAGTCTGTTATTTGAAATTAGATTTATGAAGTTTGTTTTGATTTCAGGGCTTCAATTTATAAACTCAATTTAGGTTCAGTGAAGCATGAGCATCCAAGACGAACAAAAAATCAATCCAGTTTTACCAAATTCTATCGGATCCGCCAGGTTTATCCGATTAGATTTTAAAAAGTTAAGCATACGGAAACCAAGTAATGCAGCCATCTGGAATCTACTCTGATTTATAATGGTTTTATTATGGCAACGAATAATCCATTTAGTATTTTTGTTTGCTATTTTAAAACCTTTTATAGTCTGGTGAGAAAGTCAAAACTGTCTTGTTTTAAAAATAAATTTAAAGCAGCTCTCAATTGGTGGGAGGAGGGTATGGGGTGCTTTGTAGCTTTGAACAAATAACGTGTTAAAAAAAATCTTTTTGTTTACTAGTGACATCCTAAGAATCGATGCCCGTTAATTTCACCAAAAATAGCGTTACCCAATTCTAGTAAAGCTTATTTGTTTTCCTGGGAAACATCTATAAAAATAATATTGATAAAAACCGGAAAAAAAAACTTCCAGGAGAAGAACTTTTCAGTCTCGGAGTACTTAATATTACATGACATGTTTGTTTACGTATCATCTTTTACGTCAAAGATGGATTCCGTCACGTGTAAAATTAGTTATTTCTAAGTGTGTATAATAAAACGGTCCCATGACCGATACCGCCGACGATCTCTATCCACTCCACTGACTTTAATTCCAGTCTATTTGTAACCTCGAATCCTTGATGGTTGATCAGTGATCGATGGTGGTGACGTCTTCCATCCGATCGGTTCACGAGAGCATGAGTAACCACCGATCTCATCTCCCGTAATCAAAATAAGCCCATATGGCAAGGGTTCAAATGTATGGCGTTGCTCCCAAAAATCCTTACCCACCCAGAAATTACTACAATTTTTGAAAATAAATAAGTATCCTCTTCGTGTGTGGGAAGGGAGTGGAAGTAAAGGTAGTTTAGGAAATTTGATGACTGTGTAAGACCTTGGAGATTCCCGAATTAAAGCGTACGGTCTCTAGAAGTATCCATCCACGAGTAGAATTGTGTAATTTACCCTTGATGATCGAAGTAATACCATATCAAACCATAGGAAGATAGCTATTATTGTTGACTGTAAGGATCGGCTTAGAGTCTTGTGGTGAAGGTGATGGTAGAAAGGCAACCCACACCTCCGCATTTGTGCAAACGTAAACAAGATTTATTTCGGAGAGAATTCCAATTTCAACGATCCTGATGCGAACGATATGATGATAAAGTGATAGTGGTGTTCGCACCCACCTTCACATCTACCGTGTCTCCGTGTTGTTTTTGTTGGCCAATGTATCATGATCATGCATGACAACTAAGCAAATTTAATTCCCTGTCAACAAATGCATCTGTTGACATATATTATTCCTCCTGGGTCGAAGATCAAGAGTGTGAGATGAACCCAGGAAATCATTTGCGTTTTGCATCCACAATTGTTTTCCTAACCAGATTTGCTCGTACGACCCAGGCAGCCCTAAATCTCGATTACTTTTTCGAAGAGACGTATCAGCTTTTGTAAACAATTAATTTAATCGTCGATTATTGGCGTAACTCTTAGCTTGCCCACGCATGCTAACATTACTATCCAATAGGGATAATTTTCCCCTACATGTAGCGGTGTTAGTATGCGTGGGCGAGCAACCAGTTACGCTAAACCGACAATCAAATGCATTGTTTTCAAAATCTCGTCCGTTAATTTCACAAAAAAAAAAATCACATTTCTCAATTCTAGTGAAGGTAGTTTGATTTCCTGAGAAACATTTCATAATTAGGGAATTCGATATTGATATGTTCCCGGAAGAATGCTTGATATATCATCCACGGGAATTTTACTATCAATAAGTTAAAAGAAATTTCCCGTAGAAGCTGGTGGGAGCTTTTTAAGGACGATGGAAAGAACTTTCCGAGTAGCAAGAAAAAACTTACTGAGAAGGTTGGACAAAATATTCCTGATTGACTCTGTCGGTAGATAAACATCCAGGACGGAAGACATTTCCGGGCCAAGTCGGAATAAATATTCAGAGAAACTTTCAGAGGAAGTCGGCAGACACTTCCGGGCAAGTCAGCAGAACTTCTGGGGG